GTTACAGAGCCTAGATAACTGCGAGGACAATAATTTAGTTTAAATTTTATTCCTATTTATTTCAGTATAATTATTATTATATGTTAGTTTCTGAAAATATGATTTCCTAACTTAGAGTGACGTAGAGGCTATAGCTAACAGTGTAGCTATTGAAACTGATTCCTCTTCCATTTGACCGAAAATTATACCTGGCTAGCTTTTAGCAAGTAAACCAACTGTGTCTGTAGATAAGTTAACTTATGCAGGCTTAACCCAGCGGGCTTAGTTAGATTCAAGCGTTTATTTAATCTTGGTTAGTCTGATTACTGAAACGAAAAAAGTTCTGATTATATACTACAGTTATTTTATATTATCAATTTATTCCCTTATTACTAAAATTACATTCACTTGTATTTGAATGTAACGCTCAAATCCAGAACGCTGCACCGAGTTATTTCATAAAACAACACTGAAAGTTCATGTTTCTGTTGTTCAATTCTATGTCATAATATTTTATTTAACATTTGGCATTTTGAATACTCAGGGTGATTCCTAACGAAGATAAATACGAAGACCCAGAAAACTCAACCATTAATAACATATTCGCTTATTGTTCAGCACAAAATGTCGAAAAATGTTCCATACTCATGACCCATTCTTCGATTTGTCCATGATTTCCCAATACCCCGCTACTCATAATACAAGAATGGCAAATGCAGAAGAACAAGCTAAATCCAAAGGCCACTTTATTAACAAGGGTTCACGAGTCGAGCTCCTGAACCAAAGCCGTGAGCAACCTTCACCAGGCTTTAAAGGGAGGGGGAGGGGGGGGGTTATAGGCCGTCTACCATCCCCCAGGAATGATACAGGCACACCACCACCAAAACAACCTGGTTCGTCTGTGGCACCTTCTCTCCTCGGCACCTGGGAGAGGAGACTCGTGTACTTTCTCCTCGGGGGAAACAGCTGCCCAGCGAATCGCCACAAATGAACCTGTCCCGAAAAAAATCAGACTTGTCCCACACGAAAAGTCATGACCGGCGGCACAAGGGCGGTCACGATTAAAAATGATGTCCAGGCGTTCAAACTACTCGGTAAATCATTACTTTCCCAATTATTTTCTTGTCTGTAACGATATGTTGCTTTTACCGGTGCCCGCCAAGCAATACCTGCTCGTGTGGACAGCTTGTACGGTTTGGTGTGGTGTCGTTGTCTCAAAATAACAAAGAAAATCCAGGTGGGAGAGGTAAGGATAATGGGGAACAAAAAGGGAATGGTGCACATGGAGGTGAGGATAGGGTTTGTAGGGAAAGAGTGAGTCGAAGAGGGGCAGGAGGAACTTGAGGGGGAGGAGGATGGATATCGGAAAATACTTTGAATGTAGAGGGAATAAGAATAGAGGAATTGGAGGGTGGATGAGGGAGTGGAACATTTTCTAGATTCATGTCTAGGAATTTTTGGATGTCTGCAGGGGGTCGGGGGGGGGGGGGGAGTCGGAGAAATAAGGGATCTCTTGTGAGGAGAAAAGGGGATAGCTATTCGAGGAGCAGAGGAAAAGGAGAGTGTAGGAGAGGAAGGTGATGGATACCGGCAAATACTTTAATTGTAGAAGGATTGGAGGGTGGATGAGGGAACGGAGTGTTCCACTGGGTCATATTTAGGAAGTTTTGGATGTTTAAAAGAGTTTCTAAAGGGGAGTTGGGTGAAGAGGTTAAGCAAAAGTTCTCTTGTAACATGGCGTGAATGATCATAGAAAGAAGAAAGGGATGAATAAGATAAAAAAAAAGAGAGAAAAAAAAAAGAAAAAACAAGTAAAATTAGTTGAGGCGAGGGCTGAGATCCAAGGTAGGGTGATTCCCTACCTTGGGCCTTAGTCTCCGTCTCCTAAGCCCTCCCATGACAACAACGAGCGAGGTATTAGGAGGGAAGGGTAGTAATATAGGAAGAGGGGTAGCCATTGAATAAGACTGCAGTAGGAGATGGAGAGGAGAATGTTGGGAGAGAGGAAGGGGGGCATTCTGAAGGGTGATTAATGACCTGGTTGGGTGGTTTGGAATGGATGAAGTTGTCACTAAATCTCGAGAAGGGGGTATTAGTATCAAAGGAGGGGCAGAAGTCAGAAAACCAACAAAATCTAATTCAAATAGGCTAGTTAATGAAGGGACAAGCCTTAATGCCCCTCTTATGGGTAAAGAATCTTCATTATTGGCCATGGTGAGCCTGAATAAAATGGGGAAAAGAAACGGTCTATCCCTCAGGGTCCCCATGAGGAGTACGGGCGACGCAATTAACCAAGGGAATACCATGCCCATGGCTCCTGGAGGCAGCTCATGACTGACACAAAGCCAGCCTTTCATCCTTTCAGCATGGCTCTCACACCTTAAAATCAAGGAAAGGGGTAAGCAGGGAAGATAGATTGGACGAGTGACTATCTCAGAGATTAAGCACTTGTGGAGCCATCTATGTGTAAATGCAATAAATCAATCAAAATCACTGGGCATGGCATGCACTTACATGCCATCCTCGGTAGCATTGGAATAACTAGATTTTACACCATATCAAAGGACACAAATAAAAGTCAATTTCTTTCCATAAGATTTATACACTTTGACAAAGTATAGTTACATATACACACTCCCTTAACAATTAGCAAATTGGAAATCTTCCTTTAAATCATGATAAACTTCAAGATAGCACAAAACACTATAGAATTTCTTCACATATAATGTATATATATCATATACAAGTCCCACACATTTCAAAACTCTCCTCTCTTTATTATTTACACTGAATATCTGCCATTCAATATAAAACAAAACTATTTCCTTTGTACAGTCAACTAAATAATGAAACGTTGATTACCCTCGACCCCACATCAACACGCATTATTATAATGTTATTCACAAACTAACCTCAGCATTTGCAAGGGTCTTTCTCTGAGGGCCAGGTGATGATGAGAATGATGAAAGTCTTGGGAAATGAGAAAATCATGTTTACCTGTGTATATATAAATATGTATATTGCTTTTCTCCTCTCTGAAAAGAAGTACTTGGACCAAATGCAAAATCAAGGTAAGAGGAGAGGTCAGTATAGTAGTAGTGGAGGAGACAAAAGAGGGAGAAGAGGACGGACAGTGCAAGGGATAGAGAGTATGAGCAAATCTGGGGAAGGAAGAGAGAGAACACTATTCTCTATGAGATCAGATGTGTAGCTAAAACACATCTGCAACTTTAACAGATGATTAGAAGGTACACACACAAAATAAAGAACCTTTTTGACATGCAAGTAGGCATAAGTACACATTCCTACACAAAATGAAATAAAATTGCTAAGAAGACCACATGTTACACATCTGGAGCAGCCACTAACACTTATGAGAAAGGAGATGAAGGAAAGAAAGAAATGATGAAAGACAGAAAACAAAACTACCGCCATCAAATAATTTCTTTCACTTATCCACCCTATGGTGATGGGACCTGATTTATTTGTGATGTAATACTACACAACAGTCTAAGACTTTGTGGCTAGGCTTAAGCTGTGTACAGCCGGCCCACCTGGCTATAGCCAGAAAGAGGAAAGCAATGTCTACCCATCTGAATAAATAATCATATTACAGGTATGTTAAAATTATGCATATGAAATGACTAATGCAATTTCATAATGAATGAAGAAAAATGAATAAATGATAATCAAAAATAAATTCTTAATAATGCCCAACAGTCTCACAGTATCTATGGTCATGATAACAATGTTAATAATGATGATGGCTACCATTACAGGTAATGATGATGATGACAGAAAAAACAAGAAAATAAAACCCCACTAATATATAAGACATCAATCACACAGATAATAATACCTTCTCTCATTCAATAACAATATCAATAAAAAAGAAAAAAGAAAAACAAAGAAAAGAGAGAAAAAAACTAACTATACCTGATCAATCATACTAAAAAAAGCAGTTTTTAAAGAGAGAGAAAAAAGTAAACACTGAAAGATTGTACAGTTCACATATAAAAAATCAGACATTACAAAACAAGAATACATAGGTGTGTACACACACACATACACACTATTTCTTCTTTTCCTTTCTTTTTTTGCCTGAGAATATATTACAATACAATCCAGCACTACCCTCATTTTTATATATATTCCTTACTCATGATTCAACTTTAATTTTCACATTTTCTAAATTTGCAGCTCATGCCACAGAGCCAATTTTAGCAATTTAAATAACTCATGCTAGATAAGCAAAAGCAATTTACTAATTTCTCAACATTCTGTTGGTCATACATTTTACCAAAATTTTTCCTTGTGCAATGAATAGATATTCTAAAAAAAATAATAATAATAAAATAAAAAATTTAGTAATTAACCTAGTTTGTTAAACGGGCACGCATGCACGCACACATCCCCCCTATACACACTTACAATCACAATCTCTACCTTTCTGCTGTTATATTTGCAAACAGCCATATGATACTCAAGGACTATTCTTGACAGGATGCAATATACTAGCTGTTTGATAGGTACATAAATAAATATAATAAAGGAAACCACACACATACACACACATGCACAAGTAAAGTTCATGTACAATATAAAATGTGAGAGAAACAATAAATAATAACCATGATTATGATTTATGGACTCTGACTTACAAGATCAGAAAAACCAAAATTTTTGGAGTTTATTTTTTCATCCTAAATATTTTTACATTTATTTATCTATTTTCATTTTGTCTTTTATTTTTACTAAAACTTGTACATATATATGCCCCTTTGTAAAAAAAAAAAAAAAAAAAATAAAATGTCTCTCTCTCTCTCTCTCTCTCTCTCTCTCTCTCTCTCTCTCTCTCTCTCTCTCTCTCTTTATCTCTCTCCTCTCTCTCTCTCTCTCTCTTCTCTCTCTCTCTCTCTCTTCTTCTCTCTCCTCTCCTCTTCTCTCTCCTGGCCCCCCCCTCGATCTCTCACTCCCCCCCCTCATCTCTCACTCACCCCCCCTCCATCTCTAGCTCGCCCCCCCTCTATCTCTCGCTTGTCTTCCCCTCTATCTCTTGCTCGTCTCCCCCTCTATCTCTTGCTTGCTCCCCATCTATCTCTCGCTCTCCCTTACTCTCATACTCACTCTTTCACACTCATACTCTTGCACTTTTCCTCTCTTAGCCTTATTATCCCCTACTAACATCATGTAACATTCTTTCTCTCCCCTTTAATACGTCACGACTGCCTTTCCCCTCTATGATGCAATCCACTTATTTCCAAGGATTCTGGTATCATGAGGGACCCAGATCGTTCTTGTTTCTCCCTTGACCCTGGATCAAAACAAAGGAAAAGAAAGACAGAAAAAGTACAGAGTAATAAAAAACATGCCTATCTAGCTAGACCTTCCTCAACCATATAGGCTTTTCAAGGGGTCTTTTAGCTATTTTCCCTTCCCTGCCCCTTCAAATAGTTCTCTTTGGTCTTGGTTATCTAGTATCATAAGGGGTTGGCTGGATCCTTGGGGAAAAGACCAAGTGACTGGAGGCAGGCAGCAGCAGCGTTTGCCTTGGCTAGCTTCTTGGTCGAGGCAGCCACTGAAGGCTTGTACTCCTGGCCGTTTACCATTACCTGTGGAGTGTGAGATGATTCATTGCAATTACTTGCAGGACAGAATAAAATAAATGAATGGAATGATAGTTTCGATTACAATAAATATCTGAATACATAAATAATAGAGAAAGGATAAATAATATAATAATAATCAGAAGATAATGATGGTAATAATGACACGACTGCTACTGATAATGGAAAGGTTAACAATTACTTAGACTGTAATATAAAAGCAACAATAATATTACTGAAAACAAACCTCCCCTGATTCATTAATGACAAAAATAAAAAAAGGTATTAATGAAACTGAACAATTCCAGAACAAAAAATATGTAATTAGCATTGTGATTATAGCTTTCTCAGAATTATGCACAATTATTCTCAATGTATATACATATAATGCATTGTAGGACGACTCATTCTCTTCCATAACTTGCATCTCTCTCCCCCTTCCTCCTTACACTTGCACCCTCCTTCCTTCCTACCCACTTTCTCACACCCTTCTGGCACTCACCTTCATGAGGAAGTTTTTCTTGTGCTCGGGGCCGCAGTCGAAGACCATCTCAAACTCAGGAGGCGACCACTTCCTCTTGGAGCAAAGCTCGACCAGGGCGGACACTGGATGCTTGCCTGAGGCGAGACAGACGGAATGGCCTTCTGTCAGAGGTGGAGAGGCACACGTGATGGTGGTGATGATGGTGGTGATGGTGGGAGGTTGTGATGATAGTTCAGAACATTAACAGTAAGAATTATGATAATACTAACAGTGGTGATGGACATAAAACTGGTAATGACCTCATCAGTGGGTGTACTGATGATTGTGATTACAATGACGATAAAGAGGATTGTATAGGAGCTGGTGCAATATACAACAAAGCTGAATTTTTTGTTTGAAAATAATGATGATGACAATGATGATAATGATAATAACAACAATGATGACAAAAAAAGTTTGTGCATGTGTGTGTATATGTATGAGTGTGTTTGTGGGTATATATAGGAAAAGTACAAATATTTTCACAATAGAAGGAGATGTATTTAACTGGATTTTAATATATCTTCTCTGATACATACATCAACTAAACCACTGAGCATGTATATCAGACCTGAGCTGACGAACCACTTGAGGACTGAGACCTGCTACTCACTTTTTGTATAATTGTTGCCGCTACCTTGGATAACCTGAAGCTGCCTGATGCAGTGTTTACATTTTTCTTCATTGCAAAGTTTGTGGTTTCCTTAATTTTCTTTTCTGTTTGTTTAGTTCTCCATGGATTATTTTGCTTCCTTTCAGTCCAGTTGATGGCATTGGAAGTCCTGTGGTGACAGATGTCAGCTCCCTGTTCGTTGATTCTTGATGTCAAGCCCATGTTTTATTCATCAAAATATGCAGGGTAACATGCAACAGTTCCGAAGTGATCAGCAGGTACTTTGGAGGTACAATAAAAATCCCCAGCACATCCAGTGAAAAAATTCATCACATAACACGAGACAGAAAGCCACCCACAAACCACAACAGTGCTGTATACTGCATACACTGTGGCAGGTTTGAAAAACAGATAAAAATATTTATGGAAGCTGCATACAGTGTGACAGAAAAATGTAAACACTGCATCTCACAGATTCAGAATATCAAAGGTCCTTGCAGCAATTATGTGGGAAACGAGTGTCAGGTCACAATTGCTATGTAGTTTGTCAACTCAGGTCTGGTAGATACATCTTTGATGTATGTACCTCTGACAATGATATATTCAACATCAGTTAAATACTACTCTTCTATTCTGAAGATATTCATTCTCATTCATAGCTTTTCTACGTCATAATATCTGTGTGTTGTGGGGCACATGGACATATACCTAAACGTGTGTGCCCATTAGAATGTGGACTTATGCATGCGTGTGTGCATGTGTGCGTGCGCATTGCACATAAGTGAAAAGAGTTTTCTAACAAATGCAGAGAAAGTATCCAAGAGCATTAAAAAATCCACAATGCAGAACATGTCATTATCATTTTCCCCTCACAATCTCATCAGAAATAAACAATTCTGAAAACAGAGTAATACTGGAATGATAATCATATCCTATACAGTGTGGAATTATCTCTTCTCATCTTCTTTACATGTGTTAATGTGTAAAGCTGCATCTCAAAAGTCTCATCTTCATCATTATCATCACCATCAAAGCTAAACCTACCACTAGCAAAATTACCATCATTCTACTATCATCAACATGAATGTCAATATCATCATCATAAGCACTATAGCTTTTTCCTCACCCGAGAGATCCTTAGCCAAGGGGATTGGTTGTTTTTTGGGGGTCAGCTCTTCCTGGGCGTGGAAACCTGAAGAGCCAAAGACAAAAATATATGAATGAATTGTTTGTTTGGAAGATTAATACACTGGTACATCATATATAAAAATATATATATATATATAATATATTATATATATATATATATATATTAAATATATATATATATTATATATATATATATTATATATAATATTATAATATATATATATATACACATATATATATAATAATATTAACAATATATATACATTAAATATATACGCTGTATACCCACTCATTAATCGCCTCCTCTATTAACTATCCTCATCATATTTCTACCTCCAATCACTCTTCCCTCCTTCCCAATTTCCTGCCACCTGCCCCATCAACTTCTCCAACTCGCTTTTCTCAACTTACTATCAACTTCATCACCATTCTTCCCGTCTCTAACTGCTTACACTTACACTCTACACTGACCTTCCCACACTTCACTAAGTTTTAATACTTACTATAAACCCATATTGTTCTTCTAACATCATTACCATCTCCCTGTCTGCTATAAACAATCTCATCCTCTGAACACTATATATCTCTATACAACACTATTATAGTCCTGTGTTGTGTATAATGTATACAAAAATATCTGCTATATATACTATATATATAGATAGTTATTATCTATATTTACTATACTATGTTGTATTATATATATAAATATATCTATGTATATATATATTATCATTATCATATATATATATATATATATATATAATATATTATCCCATTATTATGTTCCCTATTCACTTAATCTATATCTTTCTCCTATTCCTATACCCTAATCATCATTCAACTTCTATTCTCCATCATTCTCACTTTACACATTATCACCTTCAGTACTTCACTTAACTAGTATATCTCTTACAAAGATTCACATCATCTTCTAAGTATCACTCCAGTCTCGATCTGCGACGTCACACTTATTTAGCGACATTCTTAACTAGCTCTAAAATTATATATCTATAGATCCATTATCTCATCCGTCACTGCAACCTCGCACAACGAACATCCCACCTTCTTACTATATACTCACATATCATTACGCTCCTTTTACGATCGTCTTACGCCTGTATTACTGGCTGCTATAATTTATATCCATCATCAGACTCTGTTTATCTGCTCTATACATAATCTGTATATAAGATAATACTCCTATATATCTTATCTCTTATATAAACATAACTTTTATAGCTTATTATATAAAAATATTAGTAATATACTAAATATATAACCATCTAGAACCCAATTTATAACTATTCTAAACTTATATATATAATATATACAAACTACTATATAATAACACTATACTTATAATACAATATATCTTGATATATCGTAGTCATCTACTGTCATTATTTACTTTCTTCTATAATATTATAACAATATATCAAATATATATAATTTAGCATATGTCTAATTATTTCATAAGCTATCTATACGCCTTATAGCCGTCCAAGACTTAACTATATAACTATCAATTCATATAATTTCCATACTCCATCCAGTACTCCTACATATTCGATTAGCTTTATCTACTATATATTTATTCCTTGCATATTCTTATTCCCCCTAATACACTCTTAACCGATCTCTAAATATATATATATCTGTACATTATTATACCTCCACTCTTTATCCGATACTCATCTTACTATTAATATTATATCCGTATATCTACTCCATACGAACTATAATTAATTATTAAATATATATATATATTTACCCATATATTTCTATCTCTATAACCTATAACTTCTATCAATCCTAGATATCCTATAACATAATCTCTCCACTAATAGATGTTAAAATTATACTATTAATTAACTCATCAATACTTACGCTTAATAACTATTACTAATATATACTATCTACTTATATAAGACTAACTTATAGATCTAATTCCATATACAATAGTTCAATTATCATAACCTAACTTATTGCTTACTATGTATATATAATTCTTATTTCATATCACATAGCAATAATTCCTTATGCCTATTCGCACTCTTATAATAACTAGCTATGAAATAAGGTATGATATATTATTACCCATTTCAATCTATCATATAATCTTATCATCACACACCATTCCTACACACACAGGCAACACACCAACATACCTACGATCACCTTAAACATCCAACCCATCAACCACATTAGCGCTCTATATATATATACATCCCGATAATTCTATATTTCACATCCTAGTTATGACCACACTATCATCTAGCCTACATAGTATTACTCACCTACGCTATCATGTATTACCACCTAATATATACACTAAAGCAATTCCACTAGCGGATACTTAATTACTAATCTACATCCCCTTCTGCATCCATCCATCAATACTTACATATATATACTATTTAACAGTATCATATATATCTATTAAATATACTATACTTAATATAATATCTATTTTCTCTCCTACCTCATCTCATCATCATACCCGATATCTATCTATCCGATCAGACATATCATTCATTACTATATCGTCCTGCAATTCATAACTTCTGTACCTCTTACATATATTATACCCTAACTAACGTCAAAACTTCGGACTCACATTCTACACTCATCTTCTCACTACGTATGAATACTATCCCTTATCTTAATCAACGTACTCTCTCTACTATAACTACGAACAATAATTACTTTAACTCTTCCGTATGTATATATACATACCTGTAAACCTATTAATATACCATCCAATCACCCTTCATACTATTACCCCTACACTTCATATAGTCTCGATAATAAATATTACATATATATACACATTTATAGGTAATGTTCTACGTCTTCATTAGACTTCCTAGCTCAATTTCTATTACCTATATAATTCATATTCAATTACCTCAACATCCTATTATAATCTCTTCTTACACTCATAATACGTCCTCTACTTCTCATATCCTACATATTCATTATATTACATCCATACTCTATATATGTACTAACCATCTACTACATTACTCACCCTTATCCATGATTAATTATAGCTAATTATATCCTATACTCTATCAATGCTATTCATATTATATATAACTATTAATACTTATTATATCATATATTATATATCTAAATAATATATAAACTATTTACATTATATATATTTATACTATATATAATCTTAATATATAGACATTATATTAACTTACTTATATGTAATATATATTATTATATTACATCATTTATATATTAATATTATTATATACAATTATAATATATATATATAAATATATATTGCTTACATAATAAATATATAATATATCATAGTATCATATATGTTACTCCATCTCATCCCTAATAATATATCATATATAGTATATAATATATTACATATATATATATACTATTATACTAATTATATATTATATATATATAATTACATTATATAAATATATAATTCATTATATACTACTATGCTCTATAATATAATATATGACAATACTATAATTAATATATTATACGTATATTATATATTCCCATTACTTAGATATACTACCCTTATACTAATACCTATCACTCACATATATAATAATATATGTTACATATTATATATAATATCATTATATAATATATATTACATATATTATTAAATTTACAATAATTATATATATACTAATATATATATATATATTACATATAATACTATATGTTACATATAATTATATAATATATATTATATAATATATATAATTACATAATATATATATATATTATATATATATATTATAGTTATATTAGATATTAGATATTCAATATATATATCATACATATACTCTATAATAATATATTATATATATAAATACATTAATATATTAATATATATATTATATTATTATAATAACTATTATATAAATATATTATATTAAATTAATATTATATTATATATACATATATATAATTAGATAATAATATTACATATATACTATATATATATATTATATATAATATTTACATATATAATATATTACATTATTATATATATATATATATATATATTACATATATTAAAAATTACATATATATTATATTATATTATTATATATATATATATATATATATATATATATATATATTATATATATATATATATTATATATATATATATTAATTAATAATATATTATATACAATATATAAATATTTAATATATTATATATAATATAATATATATTATATAAATATTATATATATA